AAGCTGGGCTTATGATGCGGATTGCGTAATTTCATGCTCTTGCTGGCCAGCTTCTGCACGAAGCGTGCCAAGCTTCCGGGCTAGCCTTGCATTCATATCGATGCACTCCTCTGTGGCTACGCAACGCTTTTTGGTACGGATCCTTATGTAGTCCTCCTAAGAGAATGACCAGAGCTTGTCCCGAAGTGCGTGCTCTGTCTGAAGCGAAAGTCCTTCTCTGCACACTTGTGTTCTATGGCGTCGCGCAGAAGGCGAAGGCAGTACTGGTGTCTTCTTCTTTGGCAGATTTGCTTGTGCCTGGAATACCTTGGCTGTTGGGTGCACTGGGTTATAAATCGCGCACTCAAATCCCTCCAGCATTGTCGCTGAAATGACAACTGACACTCGCTCCTTTGCAACTTCCATGCCCATTGGACATAAGGCCACAGTGCCTTGCTCCGGAAAGAGGAGAACAACGAACGAAGTAGCGGTGAGGCATCCTGCAGCTTCATTATGAAATGGAAGTCTGCCCAGGAGCAGTTATATACACTAATTTGGTGTTCTTAGGTGTTGATAATATTTCTATGACTACACATGTTACCTCAGTACTAGGAATTATGACCCGGCAAAACACTGACATGGTCACATTTGTCTATTGCTTGCGAGAAACCTTTTCAGACATTTCTCAAGTTATCTGGTGACATCTGCGCTGTGCTAACTTATTACCAACACCCAGCATATGAGTCAGTGAAAACGTGTGATCTTTCATTAGTTTTACACATGATATATTCCTAGCACTGAGGTAACATGTGCAATCATAGAAATATTATCAACACCTAAGAACACCAAATTAGTGTATATAACTGCTCCTGGGCAGACTTCCACTTCATATTGCATCTTGATGATGGCAATTTGCCGAAACGATGAAAATGATTTTTTGAAATGAAATGTGTTGTGAATTTGCAGTGCCCAGGGAATGAGCATGTGTGCTCACCAATTCTCTTCGAGTTATGAAGCTGCAGGATGCCTCACCGTTACTTCGTTCAACAGCCTAGACAACACTATTGAGTTCCTTGCGTCACCTCAAAAGTACTGATAAGTCCAATGTCTCAATGAGATTCGGTGTATGTGTTTCATGTGAAATTGCACTGAACACAATTGTGGTTCTGTAAAGCAACCGGCTACTAGACTGGAGATCTTTGGTATGTTATACACCTGCAAAATGTTTCACTTTCCAGTGGCGGGTAAGATAGTTGGACAGCACAATCAGTCATGTCCTTGTGCGTAACCCGTACAGTAATGGTGGTTTGTGTAAATCTGCACGAAGAAGTCAGAGCCAAACTTGGTTGGTTCAGTTTTAAGTGGCGTACTTTCTTGTCCTGCACAAAAACAATCTACCAACCCACATGGGGAGAAAACTGGTTAATGGCATCGATGCGACGTTTTTTTGTGTTCATTGAAAGCATATGTTCTGAGATTATGAATTGGCTCTCAGTGGCAGCAGAGGGTTGGGCGTATTTTCGAGGCTATTTGTAAATTCTTACCCTATACCTCACACCCTCAAACTTATCCCAGACAATAACGACCTTTTTGGGAGACAGTATGCTGCTTTGAGTAACTTGTATTGTAATGCAAATGTTCAACAAGCTTGAAAGCAACGCCACACTGCTGCCTGCAACTAGCTCGGGAATCCCCACAATACACTTATAATAGTTGTGAAGTGAAATACCAAGCTATGGACAGCAGCTGGTTAATGAGGAGCCATAGCTGACTTGTAATGAGCAGGAACAAGTGAGGCCAATGCCGGTTAGGAGGAGCAGAGCTAAATGCTCCAATCTACCGTATGGAAGATGATGTGATGTGAGAAATGAGGGGTGAAAACCTAGCATGAGCTAGAAGCAAACAGTTATGTTGACGTTGCATGGATGGAATCAGATAAAAAAAGGAAGTGAAAGTAAGTAGTCAGTCACTTGCAAGAACCATGTCATTATGGTTGGTGTTGTTGTGAACTACCCTGTCTACACTGGCCAACATGCAACACTCACAGCCCACCTGACATTGGACTAGTTACTTGCTTTTGCACAAGAAGGACTAAAACTAAAAGAGCTAGAGAAGAAGGATAAAAGCTTGCGCACCAAGATGACACGTACAAAATGGCGACCTACGTCATCGTGTGCACGCACAAGAGTATTGGAAATTGGAAAACTGTCAAGAACACAGTGCGAATTAATAATACAAAGCTCAAGAAGAATTGACACTTAGTGATCAACTGCAAATATGTTTGTTATCAAGAAAGGAATAGAGAGAGGGAAAGAGAGAGAGAGAGAGAGAGAGAGAGAGAGAGATGAGATGGCTTTGACAGTTACTTGGCCAATCTATTACACCTCTCCCTCTAGACGCCACTAATCAGGAACAATATCGCATTGGGCGTCGAGCGATAGCTGGGGCATGGAGATCATAGGGTGGGACCAAGTCAATGTCTCCGCCATCAAATTCCAGGGCGACGGCTTCACTATCACTAGCGTCACTATCACTGTCACTCTTGGCAGGACCCGGCTAAACGCTGTGGACATCAGTAGGAATGTAAGGCAATTCAAGTCACCCCTCCCTTTACATCCTCAGTGTTCGGTAATACAGGAGCTCAGTCTAGCTTCAGCAGTCAATGTTGACCACTGTCTCTGCGTCATTGACATGGCTGATCACAACGGTTGATGGTGACACACTCTTCTCCACTTTCCAGCCAGGCTCAAATGGCAGGAGCAGCTTCTGGTGACACCCGGGGCGTAGGAACAGTACTGCATCACCGAGAATGTAGGCTGACTGTTTGCTGCTCCGTGGTTGTGGAGGGCTCAATGCAGACAACTCTCTTTCCACAACATCGCGTACATGGGCAGCCGATCCATTCAGCTTGTAAACCCACTCGCTCACCACAGGGGCGGACAGGCACGCTTCCAGAACTAAGGACCGGGGCTTCCAGGCTCACATTGCGTGCATAGGCGACATTGTTGTCGAAGAATACGACCAGGAACAGTAGTAGAACAGCAGGAGGTCCAGCTCCCACCTCCAGTCCGATACTTTATCTAGTACTTTCCTCATCAGGGTGATGAGAGTCCGATTCATGCGCTCCACGCCGCCTTGCGACTGTGGGTGATGAACTGCTCCCGTTTTCACACGCACACCGAACTGGGTGAGGAGGGCCTGGACAAGAGTATTCTGGAACTCCGTCGCGTTGTCCATTCTAGTCTTGTCGGGTGGACCCCACCTGCAGCAGACACTAGTCATGCAGCATTCCTGCAAGACTAGCAGCAACGTGTCGCGTAGTGGCTTTACATCGAACCTCTTGCTAAATACATCACCTTACACGAGTGCACAGTGGTATTGTTGGCTCTAGTGTGTCCACTTGCAGCACACTCGAAGGGCGACCGGGGATATCTGGGTCAGTAGGTGGCACCGTCGCTCCACCGCGTCCATTTGCTTCACAGCACGCTTTCCAGTCATGGCAAGATTCTTGGCAGCGTAAGTTCATACCGGGAAAGTAGCAGGTGCCGCGCAACATCTCGTACATCACTGTCCAGCTACCGTGCTCGGACATCTGATGTGCTTCTTCCACTACATGTGGTATCAGGGATCCTGGGATGATCAGCACGGTCATATTCCAAACTGCCGGGAGCCTGAAGCTGCGAGATAACTCTCCATCATCCATAAAAAGCTGGTCTCTGATCCTTTTGAATGGTTTTACCTCGACTATTTTGCCTAGCTAGATGGTCAACTGTACAGGCATAGGCTGGGGAGATGCTCTCTGGGCATGCTGTACTTTTTCGTGCGTGATGGCTTGTCCCGTTGCATAGTCAACTGCGCTAGCGTTGGGTGCAGGTTAGTCGTCCGGTCTCCATCAGGTCAGTTGCCACTTGTAAATGATGTTCTATGAGCACCTTATGCAGGCCTACTACGCGAACACGGCATACCTTCTCGGCAATTTCACATAGCAATCCAAATACAGCCTTGGAGCCGGTAATGAGCTGCATTGATTCCATGCCCCACTCGTCCGTTTACCACTTTCGCCACTCACAAGGGCCTCTTTAGATTCAAGAGACTCCGGTTTGGCATTGCTTGCGCACCGGAGATAATTCAACGTGTGGTGTCTGACATCCTTGCCGGCCTACCGGGAGTCGTTGTCTATATAGATGACATTCTCATCTATGCCCGCAACCGACAGGAACACGACGAGCGCATGGCTGCCGTACTCCGTCGTTTGAGCGAAGCCAACCTGCGCTTAAACTGGGAGAAGTGTCGCAGACGCCAGTCAGAAATCAAGTACTTGGGACACTGGCTGAGCAAGGATGGTGTGCGTCCTGACGGTGACAAGCTGCTGGCAATCCAACAGTTGCAGCTGCCGCAGAAGTTGACAGATGTACGTCGTTTCCTTGGTATGGTGATGTACCTTGGTAAATTCATACCGCAGCTCTCACAGACAACTGAGCCGCTGAGGAAACTGGCTCAGCGACAACCATTCGTCGTTGATGATGAGCTGACGGCCGCGTTCACCGATGCGAAGACAGCCGTGGCCTCGTCGCTAGAGTGCTTAGCGTACTTTAAGCCATCATTGGACGTCCCAACCAAGGTAACATGTGACGCATCTCCACTTGGTCTGGGTGCTATTCTGTGGCAGCAAGACAAGAGTGGCACTTGGTTACCTGTCACCTGCGCCAGCCGTTCATTGTCCGATGTTGAATCTCGTTATTCCCAGTTGGAGCGCGAAATGCTTGGTATTCTCTCTGACTCGATTCCGACAGTACGTCCTGGGGAGATCTGTTCAAGTTGTGACCGACCACAAGCCCCTGATCTCAATCGTCCAGAAGCCGTTTGACGAAGTACCACCACGGCTGCAGCGCTGGATGGTCGCTCTCATGCCATACCAGTACACCTTGCCACATGCACCTGGGAAGCAGATGGTGTGTGAAGACACATTGTCAAGAGCGCCTGTCCAAGACTCAACTGCCTCACCAGAAGAAGCCCGCTCTATGGCTGAGTTCATTGGCCTGGTCTTGGAAGAGTGCCCAGTCAATATCGACGATATCGCCAAGGCGACTAGTGATGACCCACTGTTGCGCATCATACAGCAGCGCGTCTTGATGCAATCATGGTCCCAAGTCACACCCGCTGAAGAGCCATACTACCTTATCCGAGATCAGCTGACGACCATTGACGGCATCCTGCTATTCGGTAACCGCTGTGTAATACCAGAAGCTCTCCGACATGCCGTACTGCAGTTGGCCCATGAAGGTCATCCAGGTCGTGACTTATTCAAGGATGCTTTGCGACGACGAGTATGGTGGACCGGCATGTCTAAAGATGCCGACAAGTTCGCCGAGCAGTGTTCAGAGTGTTGGCGCCATCATACAAACCCCGCACAAGAGCTGCTGCCATCAGAAATTGAAGGAGTGTGGCAGAAACTGGCGGTTGATCTGGTGTGTATCGAGAGTCAACAAGTATTATCCATCGTCAACTACGGTTCACGCTATCCGGAGCTACTTCCCTTGTCAGCTACCACAACCGCAGCTGTCATTGGCCGGCTGATGGAAGTGTTCGCGAGGTTCGGCCTGCCTAGCGTGTTGGTGTCCGACAATGGCCCCCAGTTTGCCTCAGCCGAAATGGCCCAGTTCGTGCAGCGGTTGGGTATCCAGCACAATCGATCAAGCCCACGCTACCCCAGATCTAATGGCATGGTGGAACGTCTTCATCGAGTCGTCAAAGAGAGAATTCAATCTCTACGACCGTCCCTGTCTTTGCAACACCGTTTGCAACAAGTTCTCTTTGATATTCGCAACTCAGTGCACCGAATGCTGGGCATGTCACCCAATGAGGCTTTCTTCGGTCGCATGGTTCACACCCGTCTACCTCACCATTCTACCCCACGCATTGTGAATGCTTCTCATCAGATTCGCGCCAAAGCTGATATGGCAGTCTCGCATGATAGTCGCCGCGGTGTCCGCCAGTTGCCTATGCTGCGTCCCGGCACAATGGTAGTCTTGCAGGATGGCTATTCCGACCCAACTACCCCTTGGCGTGTTGTGGAGCAATATGGCAGACAAGTCGGCGTCACTGATGGCAGGCGGATACTGCTCCAAAATCGGCAGCATGTGCGAGAACATGCTTCACCTGCGTCATCAACTGCCACCTCTTCTCGGTCTTTGGATCTCCAGCCAGTTCCGTCGCCAGATCCCCAGCCAGCTACAGAGTCAGAAGTGAAATCCTCGGCACCTAATGCAGATGTGCCGCCTGCTACGCCTACTGCTCCGTGTGAAGCAGGAGTGAAATCTGAGATCAAAGAGGCCGATGCTCAGATTCATCCCGAGTCCAGTGACCAATCACGTCGTCAATCACGCCTACCACGGCCCGATGCCCAGTCTGGCTCGCTCTATCGCGAGGGCTATGTAACCCGCGCTGGCCGCACTGTCAAGCTCACTGAGAAAGCTGCTGGTGCATTGATGTAATATCTCCATTTTGACTGACCATGTTGCATAACTATGCCAATTTGCGATTTAGTTGCTGGTTTGGTTTGTTTTGTTTGTATCGTGTTACAGGTTTGATGTATCTTCAGTGAGTTGACCCGTCGGTGTCAGGGTGTGTCAAATTTGTTGCTTTGAATTGATTCTTTGCTCGTTTCCTCTGCAATTTCATTGTTTTTTCTTGTCTGCAATTTTCTCCTTTTTTCTTTTTCCTTTTTTTCTCTCCTTTTTTTCTCAAACAGGTTTGCATTTGCAGACAATTTTTTTCTTAGGGAAGGGGGGGTAATGTGGTAGTCATGCATTGTACATCACGGCTGTAGTACTGATGTGCACAGTCATGGTAACAGTGCATTGCGTAATGCTCTTGGCCATATGCTGCTGTTGAGCTGGTTTTACAGATGAAGAATCTGAGAGACACAATGGCTAGTTGTCTATTCTTTCCGTGTGCTTAGTCTGGCTTCTTGCATGCCTACAGCACTCACTCTGGGAAACAGAGGTTCATCACTCATCCACTAGGACGCATGAAATGTTGGGCACGATGACTGTACACTCGAGGAAGTGGTGCCCTTCTTAGTTCTAGGAGCATCAGGGTTCTGCATAGAGAAGTGTTCTCTACATCGAAAGAGGAGAGAAGGCAGAGAAAATAAAAATAAATTCAATCCAAAGTAATCCGAAACCTTTATCCACTGAACACGGAAAACGTACCGCTCCAACAACTCCTTCTTTTTCCAGACAGATACGCACCCATTATTCAGCAGAAAACTGTTCAGTTCATTCACACACCATTCTTCATTTGACAGTTCGTCCACGGGTGCCACAGCCATCGATGGCAAACCACTCGACACTCCATCTCCAAAATGGAAAATACAGTGTTTCACCATGCTCAACAACTGATACTCCGCACAAAAATCGAAGAGGATGCCCCGTCTCGGATCACGTGACCGTTATTGTGCAAAGGGTCTATTGGCACATCACAATCAGTGCTACAATAGGTACTGTTTAGAGCACTGAACTTGATCTGACGTGCAAGTATAGTAGAACACTGGTGTTGGGTTATGACGTAATGTCGTAGAACTTTAGCTCTACTGTGTATGCACGCACGCATTTCTTTGAGAGTCTTCTCTGTCGTTTACAGATTGTATTTTCTCAGTTTTTCTACTTCGTGTATTCTAACCAATAAACTACTTGTCTCTTGTCTACCGAACCTAACATCTTCTCAGCCGAATTTGGTTGGTTCACTTTGCAGTGGCGTCCTTTCTTGTCCTGAACAAAACCAATCTACCAACCCACACTGGGAGGAAACTCGTTTATGGCATTGATGCGCCGTTTTTGTGTTCATTGAAAGCATCTGGGCTGAGCTTATGAATTGGCTCTCAGTGGCAGCAGAGGGTTGGGTGTATTTTTGAGGCTATTTTTAAGTTCTTACCCTATACCTCACACCCTCAAACTTATCCCAGACAACAACGACCTTTTTGGGAGACAGTGTGCTGCTTTGAGTAATTTGTATTGTAATGCAAATGTTCAACAAGCTTGAAAGCAATGCCACACCGCTGCTTACAACTAGCTCGCGAATCCCTGCACTACAATTAGGATAGTTGTAAAGTGAAATACCAAGCTATGTACAGCAGCTGGCTGATGGGGAGCCATAGCTGACTTGAAATGAGCAGGAACAAGTGAAGCCAATGGCCGGATAGGAGGAGCAGAGCTAAATGTTCCAATCTACGGTATGGAAGATGATGTGATGTGAGAAATGGGGGCTGAACACCTAGCATGAGCTAGAAGCAAACAGTTATGTTGACGTTGCATTGCAACAGCCATTAAAAAAACTTTCCCAAATCCATCACAGCAGTACAAAGGATTTGGAGATGCCAGAGACGATGAAGAAGAGCCGTTTTGGCCTGGTTGACAGGGCGCTTACAGGCAATATCTGTCTGTCTGTCTCTCTGTCTCTGTCTCTCTCTCTCTCTCTCTCTCTCTCATTCGCGCGTACGCGAACACACATACACATAATTGTACCATGTATTTTGAATTTGACGTGCTGACTGCAGAATATGCAATGTACTTATAATAATATCGTGTCCAAGAGAGAGAGATGAAAGTGATCGAGTGTTAGACTTTTATATGGCGGATTATTGGCCTATTGTTGTTTGAGAAGTGAACGGTGTGTAAGATACACACTCGTGCACACACAAGTGCATACAGCACACACACACACATGCACGCGCGCGCACGCACACACACACCTGCATTCAAGACTGACGTCATGCGCTATGTTTTGCTGCGTAATCACAAATGGCACCAGCCCATTTTGCTCAAAAGAAAAACAAATCTTGCTTGCCCTGTTGTGCTCTTCCAGACAACGGATCATTCTTCAGCAGTGTTTCTTTTTGGTGCTCTTCCAGACAACGGATCGTGCTTCAGCAGTGTATATTTTCCGTTCGTAGCTTTGCTGCCAGCCTGAGTGTCACCTTGATATTTTATTTCTTCAGTATGTCTGACCTAACTGTCGACACTGTCAAGGCAATGCATTGGCAAGCCCTCCGAGGCCAGCTTTCTCAGCGCAGCTTGAATCCGAAAGGAAACTGAGTAAAAGTATTTTACAGGACCGTTTGCTGGCACAGCCAGCCCTTGGTAGTGAGGTATGCTCCGGCCAGGAGAACCAGCAACATGACAGTGCGGACACGGCTCGCGTGCCCAGAAACCCCGACTGGCACCAATGCCTCCTCCGCCAGCTCAGGTCATGCGGGCTCGACGGATCTCTGCGCTCTCGTACGGGACGAGGTGTAGTCGGCTTTGTCGGCCGCCAACACTTCCGGCTCAACGTTCTGGCTGGTGCGCAGCCCGAATAACGATGGCAAGCTAAATATCGTTGAGTCGGATGACGCAAAGCAGGTGCGTCACAAGGTTCACGATATTGCTACCCGGCTCGAGGCATGGACCGCATACATGTCTGTTATCACGGCTGCTGCCCCACACCGCACTGCTGATCTACTGAACTGATTGCTTACCAGCAGTTGATCCTGACTACTTACTGCCAGTTCTTCCCAAGCGCGTGGCTAGAGTACGACCGCTAGCTGCTGATGCTCGTGGCCCAGTAACCAGGCACGAAGAGGTTGAACACCGTCGACGTGAACCTATGGCTGATAGCTTTCACAGGCCATGCACACCTAAAACGTGCTCAATGTAAGACGCTGCTTTTTCGTCCCCAATCTCAATTCCCCAAGCCAGCAGCATGTACCTCAAGTGGTCGCAACCATACCAGCGACGGCCACGAAATCTGCCGCAATGTCAACAGAGGTCGCTGTTCTTCATCGTCGTGCGGCTTCTCCCACACCTGCAGCCAGTGTGGCAAGGACCACCCATGCATGAGGTGCAACCAGCAGCAGCGCAGAGCCAATCGACCACCCCGCCGCTCCTAGCAGAATGGCTACTGAATCGCTTGACTCGGTACGTAGCTTCTTCCCTATACACTCTGCAGACACCACACTGCTAGCTGACCACTTTGCCCGTCTGTTACGTAACCACCCAGATCAATCATGTGTTGTGTATGTTCTCCATGCCCTGCGCCATGGTTTTGCTCTTGTATCTGCCGGCAAACACGACATTTCGGTTTTCTCTAATAATCTGCCCTCGGCTTTAACTCATCCGGCATTTATTTCCGAGCAATTAACTGCTTCCTGCGCCTGCAGCAAGACCACAGGCCCCTTTCCGTCACCTCCATTTCAGTTCATGCGCTGGAATTGGTGCCGTCCCCAAAAAGTACGGCAAGCTGTGAATGATCCACCATCTGTCCAGTCCGGAAGGCATCGGCGTGAACGACAGCATTTTTGCCGAGCCGCTTTCTCTGCTCTGTGTGAGCATTGAAAACGTGATCAACACCATCATGTCATGCCCACAGCCGGTTTATTTGTCCAAGCTCGATGTACGCAGTGCATTTCGGCAGATCACAGTCCGCCGTCAGGACTTTTCTGGGAAGGCTCCAACTACTATGAGCGCTTTCTGCCTTTCGGTCTTCGCTCCAGCCCAGCCTTCTTTGACTCAGTAGCCACAGCAGTCAACTGGATCATGCAGCACGAGTTTGCTATAGATCACCACCTTCATTACCTCGAGGAATTTCTTCATATCTCCACTGGTTTGGTTGCAGCCAACCAGCAACTGACCATCCCCCTCCGGGCATTCACGTATCTCGGCATTCCTCCTTGCTACATACAAGCTTGAAGGGTCACACCATCATTGACCTCCCTAGACTGCGAGCGCCATGAAGCTCGGCTACCAGACAAGCTGTTCAAGATCCATGCACCACTCGTGGATACTATCAGCGAGCGCAGCATCGGCCAGCGTCAACTCGAGTCCCTCCTGGCGAAGCTCACTGTTGATGCCCAAGTCATCGTTCCTGGACGCACATTCATGCTTCATCTATGATCAGTGTGCCCTGAACTGTATCTGTGTATGTGAGTGTGGTGCGTAAAGCCCATCTTGAGAATGGGTTCGCCGGCCCCTTAGTAGATGCGTGCCTTCTGAAGAGGGTGATTAAGGGCATCCAGCGATGCCATGGTACGGCTGTACTCACCCCTTGCCTACCTATCACTATGCCAATCCTACGACACTTGATGGATGCACGCCCGAAAAGTAGTATCCTGAATGGCCATGACAAGCTGCTCTACCAAGCCGCCATACTGCTAGCGTTCTTTGGATTTCTTCTGTGTGCCAAATTCACGGATGGCACCACACGGGGCTGCACTAGCTCCCCGGGTGACGGACGCCTGCAACTCTTCCTGCTTTCATCCAAGACAGACGCATTCGGTATAGACGTTACCAGTGACATTAACCCGTCTTTACCGCCGTACCGCCCGGTCCGTGCCATGGTTAGCTACCCATTTGTCACTCGTCGCGAGGGACCGTAGCAACTCTTGTTCGTACTCTCGAACGGACAGCAGCTGACCAGACAGTCATTCACAGTAACAGTACGGTCTCTTGTTGTTGCG